TAACTACTTGAGTTTGATGTATCTTTTGGAAAAAGAAATTCAAGCTAAGATTCAATCCAAGAGCAAAATTTTGGTCTTGCAGTCAGTCAACTATTACTTATTTTTTCCCCTTTTTTATTCTAGTGATTTTTAAATAACTTATAACAACTAGTTTTGAAAAGCCTTGGCAGTGTCAAGCAGGTCTACAATTCCAATGTCTTCATCTGGGAACTTTATAGAAAATATATCAGTAAAACCTGAGATGAGCTCTCAGTGAGAGATTACCCATCTTGAACATTAAAATGCTGGCTGATTGACTCCAATGGAATTCACATCAGGCCTTAAATGCTTGTATGCTCTTGGAAACACATTTTCTTTCAGTGCTAGGAGATTAGGTACAGACGAAGCAGAAAATTTAAAATATTGTTTTCTGCAAACTGATGAAAGTGATCATCTGAGGTGAAAAGTCTGTTATGAGAAAAGGAACCACACCCTGGTAATAAAAGAACTTTATTTCCTTCTGAGATGTAACACAGAAGAAAATAATAAGATTATTTGATTCTGTTTATATAGCTTTCATCTAGCAAACTACAAGTTCATATGAAATTTTAGTTCAGAGATTCCTATTGCATTGGTGAAAGAGGCTGAAAACAAAGCAAAAAAGAATAGTTTCTATTTGCAGTTCTGTCACAGACTTTTTGCTTAGCCTTCAGCTTTTTTCTTTCTGTCAGTCATGCTTTTTTTTGAAGTGGAGCCAGAATAACTTTCCTTATCTGAGGAGAAAAGGATGAGTATTTGTAAGACATGGACATCATAGTTGGGCTGCCCTTTACAGAAATGGATAAAAATACAGAGAGGATTTGATTTTTATTCTAGTTACAGAAATTTTGCAGTGATGCCAATATTCTGATTTTAATGGAGTTATTTATGTCAATAAGTTTATTTATATGAAATTTTGCAGACAGACCTTCAGTGATACATCTTTATAAGGCAACAAGAAATGGCTGCATGAGGATTTATCATGCAAAGCTCACATTTCTCTTGCTCAATCCTTATCATCTTGCTGATGTTTTGTTTCCACAGTGAGAAATCCTTTGCCCTGGAAAACCCAGAAATATAACTTGCAAAGCTGGCATATAATAACCTGACAACCAAGTAGGAACAGGAGTAAGCTAATGATATGGGATGAAACTCCTCCTGTAAGGAGGAACCAAGACTTATTGCGTAACTGAGCAGGGTCACTGGCAGACAGTAGTGAAAGAGATAATTGAATTATTCCTTAATTCCTTCCATATAGACCATTATCAGGCCAATGGGAAAAGCACATCTGTCAGTCCTTTATATGACTTCCCTGGCTCCTGGAGCAGGAGTCCCTCTGTCCCAGCCACTGTTTATCTAGAAGCATCCAGCTCTGTACCCTCCTCTGTGAAATTCCCCTGGATGGATCTCCTTCCTGTGAAACTCTGCACAAACTTTACAGTTTAGCCTCACATTTCACAGTGACATCTGTTCTGGGGACACAGCCATTTGCACTAACAAACAGGAATGAGCAGAGAAGTAACAAACTGCTTTCCCCTCCCTGGGTTCTCACAGATGCTGCCATCTGGGAGGTGTGCTGGTGATACCCATGTGTGGTGATTCAGCCTCATATTCCACTGCATTCAACAAGAGGCACTCGTGTTTTCCAATAGTCTCTATTTCTGGCACCTATGACCTAAGGGAGATTTTCAAAGGAGTAGGTGTGACTGATGCATTCATTAACTATGCTGATCTATCTGGAATTGCTGAGAAGCTGATTGCTTTGAAGTTTGCAGAAAAAAATTGTCATTTGTGGGTTTGATGTAGCTGCTGGTCTTAACCTTGCCTAGGAAGAGACTTGGACGAGGGTCGGAGGAGCTGGTGCCTGGGAGTGGTGAGCAGGGACAGCAGCAACTTCCTACTCTCTCCCTGACATTCTGAGCGCTGCTGCTGCATGTCCTGGGAGAAAATGGAGGAATCACTGCAGAAACCCTGCTGTTCCCAGCAGTTCCTCCCTGAAAACAGTACCATCCTTCAGATGGTTAGCCAAGCATTAGGGCTGGGCTGAAAGATTTGTGCTATCTATGTAGGCAGGCCTAGACTTGAGAAAAATATCTTGTCTTTGCTAGATTTAAGCAACAGCATACTTGCTCCTGCTGAACCTTGGTCATTTTACATAATATTGCAATAAACTTTCTGGGTACTTGCACACATCATGAAAAAAAATATCTCTGTGGAAATACATTTTGACAAACTCTGCCTCTATCTTGTAGGAGATAGTAGCACTGTAGTGAGTAGATTCCTATGTGTAGATAGACTGTAGATTTAGCTGAGGTGAAATCATGTACATTCAATGGAAATAATTAGTCATTACTGATTGGGATGAGTGCCATGCATCTCATCCTTAAATAACCTTCTAAATAGCTAAATTGTGCCTATTTCTCTCAGCTCCCTCTGAGAGGGATCCCAGTGTAAGTCACATATAGCATATATATAAATCATGCCTATCCTATCTGTATGTAGCAAAGGGTTAAGAAGATCTCCTCTCTTCTCCCCAGCTAACATTTTGCCATGGTAATGATTGCCTGTTTCATTCTTCCATTTGTTTTCTTATTTTGGCTGTTTTTCAAGCCATGTTAATACTTTGCTTTTCACTTCAGTAGTTTCTAAAATACTCATCAAATGTTTCTTAAAAAGCTAACCAGTGCCTGCAACTATCCTTTATCTAATAATTTAACAAGCCCTTCAAATAATGCCAGTTAGGGCATACCTGCAGTGTGCGCTGCAGGGCAACATAGAGATACTGAGCTATTCCTGAACAAACTTGCTGCTGCCTTGGGTATTCAATTAGATGGCATCCTTGCATCAGGATAGCCCATGCAGAGAGTTCAGTGGGTCAGAGCATCCTTTTTATAAACAGACCTTGCTTCGGCCCTATCTTAGGTTCCAATTCTTCTAATATTCTTTCTTCTAAAGCTCTTTTACCACAGTTGGCCATTGGCCATTCCCATTGGCCAGACTACCTTGCAAAGCTCTTTTGCCCACAGTTTAGTTCAAGCCCAAGAGTAGCAAGGTCCCTGCTCTTTCTATCCCCTTAGAACCCTAGGTGCTGGCATCATTCTGCCTATATGACAGTAAAATAGACTTACAATGTTTGATGTCCAGAAAAAAATATCTTACTCAGTCTTTGCTTTGCAAATCAATCTTATTTGCTCTGTTTAATATTTACCAGTGGACGTAAACTTAATACCACCCAGCAGAACAAAGAATAGGGAAGAGGCACCGTGAAAGAGAGGTCCAACACTGTAAGTACTATATTATACTTTCTTAGAAGTCTTTGAATTCACTTGTCTGTGATCTCTGCCATTTATTGCACAATATTTAATTCTGAGATTAATTCATTGTGTGCAGTAATTGGAAATTATTTTAGCTTCTGGAAGCATATTCTAAATGTTGGAAGCAGGATTCAGTCAGTGATCCAGCTCTTACCTATAGTGGCAGGATGACTGGGAGATGAGGTCCAAAATGAGTACTCAACAGTCAAGACTAAAGGGAAGAACAAGACCTTGTCTCTGCTCCCAGAGGAGCAAATATAGTTGCAATGTCCTGACTACTCCAGGCTGATGCTGGGCTACTAAGAGTAATGTCCCTGTACCTCCAGTGTGTTTAAAGACCAGGCTACTTGCAACCAAGTGGCCTCAATGGTAAATTAGTCTCTTTCAAAAGCAGATTTGGGGAATTATGAAAAGAGTACTTGCCAAACCAAAATGAACTACCTCCATTTAGAATGCCTTTTTTTTTCCAGAGTTGATGGTTTTATCCAGCATTTTAGACACACTGAGCACAGCTCCTGTACTCAGCACTTACACAGCTTATATCCTCAATATTTTATACTGGGCAGCCAGAAAAGGGGGAACCCAGAATTAACAACTCCCTGTGAAAAGTTTGATGTAAGACCTAAACCTGGCATTAGACACACAGCCTGAGGCAGACCCTGGGGTGGAAAACCTTGCTCCAGAATAAGTATACAGCTGCTATGAACAACATTCAGATTGTCTCTATTTTTCTGCAGGCCACTGCCTACTTCATGTTTTTGAGTTTCTGTCATTTGAGATAATTCAGGTGAGGCACCCTATGGAGAACATTCTTCTCCAGTATATTTCATGGTTCTTCCCCTGAAAAGGGCAGAAGAGAGACTGTGGGATTATGTAGTATTTGCTTATGTCAGTTAAAGGAAGAGGAAAGGTCATCAAATTGTGCATACACAGCAAGGCAGATTCCACTATAGCTTTTCCTAAGCTCTTGAGTCTTGGGCTTTGCAACCTTATGGATAGTTTATGTGCAATAGAGAGAGACAATAAACTTTCTCGATTTATCCTCAACTGCTGAAACATTTAAGGTAATGTTTTGAAATAATATAGTTCTTGAGTTTAGAGCTGCTACACAAGAGGCAGAAAGATATAAACAGTTTTAAGGGGTGAGCATTTAAATGGATTTCATTCACAGCTACAACCAACATTATCTCTGTATCACTGCAGTGCTTGAAAACCCAAGTCATAACAAGACCATGGGTACTACAGAAACAGATCAGCAAAAGTCAGTCTCTGTGCCAAAGTACTTACCAAATACATGGGGGCCAATAGGTGAACTCAGCCATGAACCCAAATGCACTTAGAAGTCCAATGAGGCCATGCTGGTCAGAAGCAAGAACTATTTCAGGCGTAATACCTCAAAAAAGCCTACACAACATCAATTCTTTCCTGGTGATATCACATTAATATCTTCCTTCCTTTGCTCATTGGTCAGAAACTGATAGAACTGACTAGAAATAGACTATCCAGGAGGCCAAGTAGAAGAGTATTTCTAAATAGAGCAGTAATAGTAAAGACTGACATCTGAAAATCATATCTAGAATACAAAAACTATTTTTATGCAGGAAAGAGAAAATTCTCTAGATCTAAAAGTTGCTCTATTATTTCTTAACAGAACTGTTCAGAAGGAAGATGAAGTCTGCATTGTGTTTGTGTTTGTTGCTTCTTGGACTTCAAGTCCAGGGTCAACATAGGTCCAACCTCCATCATGAACAGCAGGAACAAAAAATACCCCATTCCCCAGAAGACCATTCCCAGGCTGAAGATGAAAACTTGGCTCATGTCAAGATAGCCTCCAGCAACACTGACTTTGCATTTAGGTTTTACAAGCAGGTCAGAAAGGAAGCAAGCAACAAGAACATTTTCTTCTCTCCTTTGAGCATCTCCACTGCCTTTGCAATGCTCTCCCTGGGGGCCAGATCAAACACGCTTGGTCAGCTGCACAAAGGCCTTGCCTTCAACCTGACAGAGATAGAGGAGCAGGACATCCATGAGGGATTTCAGCGCATCCTCCAGCTGCTGAACGACCCTCACCGAGAAGTTCAGTTGAGCATGGGCAATGCGCTGTTCATAGACAATCGAATGAAACTGCTCCAAAAATTTTTGGATGATGTCACAAACTTTTATTATTCTGAAGCTATTTCTAGTAACTTCCAGAATTCTTCAGAGGCTATAAAGGAAATCAATAACTACATAGATACAAAAACCCATGGGAAAATTGTTCCTTTACTCAAGAAACTTTCTTCAGACACCAAGATGATTCTGGTTAACTACATTTTCTTTAAAGGTGAGTGACAAACGTGGGTAGTAGTTATACACATAAGCTCTGGAAGTCTTATCCAGATCTAAGAAATGTAACTTTCTTCACACTGTGAACCTATTCTATCATCTAATTTAAAATACGTCTTTCTACTTTTAAATGACAAAGGAAATATTTGAAAGCCAGGTATGAAGAATCATTTTCTGTATGAGTAAAAAAAAAAAAAGAAAGAAAAAAAAAAAGAACCTGTAGAAGTACTGATCAATGTCATATCAATTTTAAGCCAGGTTCAGAGCTTAAAATATTCAGAAGTGATAAGGTTGCGAACTTATGATCATTTGTTGAAAGGCACAGGTGTTTGGCCATGCAGGATGTGGTCAAACATGGATGACACTTCTATGAAAGGAATAAGCCTGGAGCCTGTATAGTGGGAGTCTGTGGAAGTTTTACCATTGCCTTAGCAGGCAAAGGCTCATGCCTTTTCTATGGCAATCCTCAGCCTATATTTTTCTTGTGTGATTTTTATTAGAACCATTGAAATGATGTAAAGCTTCTTTTCATGTCCAATTAACAAGCATTCTTAAACTGAGACAGGCTTGTTGTTGCCTTTACACTTCAAATACAGTATTTTAAGTATCAGCTAATGTGACATGCCTTTATTAGTCTCTTTTTTCAGTTTATTCAATTCTATACTCATTCTTTTGTCAAAAGGCTACTGGGAAAAACCTTTCAAAAATTTGAACACCAGAGATGATGACTTCTTTTTGGATGCCAAGAATTCGGTTAAGGTCAAAATGATGCATCAAAAGGATGTCTTTAATATCCATAGGGATGAGAAGTTGTCTTGCTGGATAGTAGAAATCCCATACAAAGGAAATGCTGCTGCATTGTTTGTTCTGCCTGATGAAGGGATGATGAAGCAGGTGGAGGATGCTCTGCTAAAAGAAACAGTGTTTAACTGGATGCAATCACTTGAAGGAAGGTAATATTTTAACTGCTGCTTTGTTTAAATATTGAAGAGGCCATAACTACTTATCCAGGCAAAGAAAGTAAAGCTTAGGATGCCACAGTGAGTTGCTAAGTACAGCTCTGAGGAACAAGCATTGCATAGTTTCTTTAAATCAGACAAGGTATAGGGCAATTTTGTATCTAAGGGGAACCCTATCCTCAGTTCCCGCAGCCACAACAGTAGGAGTGTTACCAGCTGTGAGGATCCTGCACATGGGTACATTGCTCTCAGGAGGCCTGCCTTGAGTAGGAAGAATCCAGTTCAAAAGAAAATACAATTTCTTTTTCTCCAGTCTGGATGATAATTTCCAGCCAGTCACTTTCATAAACCAGCACTGTGGCCCTGCACCACTGATCAGACTGTGGCTGGTGGGAGAGGTACCTCAATTTCTGCTTCTCTAACATGAGATTTATTACTGTCTTAGAAAGCCAAGCCTTAGCTCCACGGGTATTTGGGATGGGTGTATACCTGCAACAGCTATTGCATCGAGGGATCTCGCACTAATAAACTCACACTTTTCTTTTTTTTTTGAAAAGAAACATCTACCTGGATCTTCCAAAATTCTCCATGTCTGGCTCCTATGATGTTAAGGGCCTGTTTCAGAAAATGGGTGTGACAGAGGCGTTCAGTAACCAGGCTGATTTCTCTGGAGTGGTAGAAAAAAAACCTCTGAGCGTTTCCAAAGTAAGTATGCAAACAGAGATGTCAATCAAGAGATTTGTCTGCCTCACTTACATGTAGGTTTTATCTCCACAAGTAGTCTGATCCCACTTCTGGAGTGTAGCCGTAGCTCAGTGATAGTAATAAAGGAAGGAGAAGATTAGGGATTAAATGGCTGTTGTTCCTACAGTTTAATATTAAATTGTTTACTGCATAGCGATCCTGCAATTTGGCTTGAAGGTCTCTGAAGAAGAAAACAGATCTAGAAAGAATAACAGGAATAATTTCACAAAAAGCTGGTGCAAAATAATTAATGCATGACAAGAGTCATAGTTATGACATAAGTTTGGGAATAGTCACTCTTATCCTATGTATACACCTTTCATTACCGCATTATCTGAGCACATCAGAATTTATATGGACAAAAGACTTGTGGGACAGGGATAGCCCTATTTCACAAACAAGAAACTGGCACACAGACAGGTAAAGGAATTTCCCCAGTGTCCCAGGGAATATATACCTTATGTCATGAGAAAAATGATCCTTCCCTTCTATTCTGCACTTGTGAGACCACCTCTGGAGTATTGCGTCCAGTCTGGGGTTCCCCAGTGCAAGGGAGATGTGGACATACTGGAGCAGAATGAGTCCAGAGGAGGGTGAGCAGGATGGCTGCATGGCTGGAGCACAGGATGTATGAGGAGAGGCTGGGAGACCTGGAGTTGTTCATCCAGGAGATGGGAAGGTGAAGGGACGTTCTGAGTGCTGTCTACAGATACCTATTAGGAGGGTGCAGAGAACATGGGCCCAGGCTCTTCTTGCAGGTGCACAGTGACAGGAACAGAGACAATGCACACAAGACAGAAAATGGGAAATTCTCATCAGATATTACGAAAAAAAATTCAACATGAGGATGATCAAAAACTTGGATGGGTTACTTAGAGAGGCTATGAAATTTCCATCCTTAGAAATACTCAAATCCTGACTGAATGAGACCCTGAGCAACACTCAGTATAGGGTGGTTGGTTGCACTGGAAGATCTCTAGAGGTCCTTCAACCTATATTATTCAATGATTTTGTGATTCCTCACACTGAATTATTACATGTGTAAACACCTGTATTACAGATATAGGACAAGTGAATAGAGGAAGGGTAGCAGGACCTCATAAGAGGAATTTTCAGGTGCATTATGGACAATGAAGAAAAAACATGGAGGGCTGACCAAAGACAATTAAATAAGATCACATGAATTTAGAAATATGAATTTGCTATACCTACTACAGGTAGGTACTACCTACTTACAGCCCTGTAAAGTCAAGTCATATCAGTGGGCTGTGTTACAGAAACACACCCTATAAAGCTTGTCACTACTGTGTCTTTGCAGAGAGAATTTTTTTGCATACACAGAAGTTGATGCAAAATTAAAAACTTATTCTTCTGTGTTAAACATTAAGGACAAAATTTTACTCTGAGAACAACAGAACAGTAAATGTTCTTTATGCTGCTCAGGCCCTGCAAGCAGCCAAGTTTGACTCTGCCAGTGTGTTGAAAACTCTCTGTGACCTAGGAGCAAACTGCTTGTCTTGGAACAGCTAGACCTGAGTATCTTTTTCACACCTGTTCTACATTCATTCTGTACTTTCTTTTAAAAACTACCTTATCACAGAGTTAAAGCAAGCAAGTTTGTCCCCAGTTGCTTGTCACTTTTCTGCACCTTGATTTTAATCTTTGCTTTGCTTGCAGGCGATTCACAAGGCCGTGGTGGATGTCAGTGAAAACGGCACAGAAGCTGCTGCAGTGACCATGATAGAACTGACACTATTGTCTGCAAGGTTTCCTCCTCCTCCTCACATCAGATTCAACAGGCCCTTCCTGATGATGATTGTTGACAAAACCAGCCATGGCATCCTCTTCATGGGGAAAATTGTGAACCCAGCTGCTAAGGAAGACTAGGCCAGAGCACTTGTACTCCCCAGTGCAGAGAAGAGAGCTTGTGCACTTCCCAGGGACTTCTTTGCATAAAGGGCCTAGAATAGATCCCTAATTAGCAAACAAATAAATAAATATTACATGAAGTTATTATTCACTTATACCTAAACAGCTGGGGACAAGCATGAGTGGGCCATGTTTACAAAATGTCCCAGGCCAAATAGGCAGCCATGGGATCGTCAACCAACAAACATTTCCCTACATCACTGACATGGTTTAACCCCAGCCAGCAACCAATCACCACACAGCCACTCACTCACTTCCCCCCGCCCAGTGGGATGGTGGAGAAAATCAGAAGGAAAAAGGTAAAACTCGTGGGTTGAGGTAAGATCAGTTTAATAGAACAGAAAAGAAGAAACTAATAATGATAATAATAACAATAATAAAATGACAATAATACTAATAAAAGGATTGGAATATACAAAACAAGTGATGCACAATGCAATTGCTCACCACTCACCAACCAATTCCCAGTTAGTTTCCGAGTAGCGATCCCATCAGGCCAACTCCCCCCAGTTCATATACTAGGCATGACATCCATTGACATGGAATACCCCTTTGGCCACTTTGGGTCAGCTGCCCTGGCTGTGTCCCCTCCCAGCTTCTTGTGCCCCTCCAGCCTTCTTGCTGGCTGGGCATCAGAAGCTGAAAAATCCTTGACTTAGTCTAAATACTACTTAGCAACAACTGAAAACATCAGTGTGTTATCAACATTACTCTCATGCTAAATCCAAAACATAACACTATACCAGCTACCAGAAAGAAATTTAACTCTATCCCACCTGAAATCAGGACACTCACTCACTCATCACTGGTGTGCCACGGTCCCTTGCATGCAGATAAACCTTTCTACTCCAGACTGAGAATGTCCCTATGTCTTCCATGTCCTGCATGTTGAGTCCTCAGCTCAGAAGCCATTCAGCTGAGAAACCATCCTTTCCCTCCCTCTCATTCCACTGTGAATCCCAAGAGAAGTCTCCTTCATCTTTGAAGTCGTTCCAGGGCTCAGTGGCCAAGAAGGGAAACAAACATAGACCTGTGAAACCTTTCCTGTCCTAGATGGTGGATGCTCCTGGGTCAACAAAAACCCTTTTCCTTCCAGCTTGACAACTGCCTCCTACCAGCTCCCAATCCCTTGACCCCATCTCCATCCCTCATTAGTCGCTCCAGAGTAAGGGGCCCAATTTTTCTGGCAGGGCAAGAATTTACCTTCTGTGACAGCTAAAGTTGCACATCACTGCACAGATGGTCATCCTTAAGGGTCTTGTGCATGTATGGTAATGCCTGGACTCCCCAGGAGAACTGGATGTGGCAAAAAACACCCTCTGGTTCCAGCAACTGTTGACAGTAGTGCAGGAGGTCATGCTTCCGTTGTCCAAATGCTAGCTAATCATGGTGCCCTCCACCCGCTTCTGCAACCTCAGGCTGATGAGTGCCTCCAAGAAATCCCTCCCCATTGAGCTGATGTTTGGGGTGCAGCAAGAAGACTTGGACACCTTCCTGAGCATTGAGTAGGCAGAAGCTGGTGTTACCAGCAGCACAATGTGGAGACCTGCTCTGTGGCAGATTAATATAATTTATTGCCAATTAAAAATAGAGTAGGATAGTAAGAAAAAAAGATATAATTAAAAACACCTTCCCCACATCCCTCCCTTCTTCCCAGGCTCAATTTCACTCCTCACTCTTCTACCTCCTCCCCCTGAGCGGTGCAGGGGAATGGGAAATGAGGAATGGGGATTGCGGTCAGTTCAGAATGCTTTGTCTCTGCCACTCTTTCCTCCTCACGCTCTTCCCCTGCTCCAGCAGGGTGTCCCTCCCACAGGAGACAGTCCTTCAGAAACTGCTCCAGCATGGGTCTTTCCGATGGGGCACAGTCTATCAGGAACAGACTGGCTCAGTGTGGGTACCCCATGGGCCACAGGTCTTGCCAGGAGCCTGCTCCAGCAGGGGCTCTCCAGGGGCTGCAGCTCCCTTCAGGGCACATCCACTTGCTCCAGTGTTGTGTCCTCCCCAGGCTGCAGGTGGATGTCTGCTCCACCACGGTCCTGCGTGGGCTGCAGGGGGACAGCCTGCCTCACCATGGTCTCCTCCAGGGGCCGCAGGGGAACCTCTGCTCGGGTGCCTGGAGCACCTCCTCCCCCTCCTTCACTAACCTGCGGGGCTGCTTCTCTCACATTTTTTTAATCCTCCCTCTCACAGCTGTTGCACAGTTTTTACCGTTTCTTAAACATGCTTTCCCAGAGGCACCGCCATCTTGGCTGAGGGGCTTCGCTGTGTCCTGTGGTGGGTCGGTTGGAACCAGCTGGAACTGGCTGTGTCCGGCATGGAGCAGCCCTGGCCTGTCCTCACAGAGGCTGCCCTGCAGCCCTCCACTGCCAGCACCGGGACACGGACATCCAATACACAGGAACACAATGCTAAGAAAGATAACATTAAGTTCACTAAGGGTAAAGGACATTTAATGGATGGGTAGAACACTTCGATGGCACGAATGAACTGTCAGGAGGTGCCGTTAGGATCCCTTCACAGAGTCATTGCAGCGTCAAGAGCTGGTGGGCCTCCACGCACCTCACAAATGCAGCCTGAGCTAAGTGACAACACCTCCTGGCTTTTCCAGTCTCAGTTCTGCTTTCCTCCCGAGGAGGGGCAGGAGTTAAAACTTTACCTGAGTGGGCCTCAGGCTCCCTGCTGCTGCTGGAGGGGTTTGGCTTATGGCTAGGCTGGGTCAGAAATGCTAAATGCGTCTGCTGTTGTGGTTTGGTTTGGGAAAGCCCTGACAGGTCGTAGGGATAGGAGAAAACCAGAGTGTGAAAACCAGAGTGTGCATATTTGCAGTGAGAGATAATAGGGCCTTTCACGTAGGCAAGCACAGACCTTTTCACACACCTACAGGCAAAAAAACCCAACCTCTAGTCAACCCATTCACACAGACCTAAAGATTTACTTAATGCAAAATATTTTCTCTATAATCCTCCCCTTGTCTCCAGATTTTAAAGAAAGAAAACCAGCAATGCTTGAAAAATGCTCTGTGGAAAATCTTAGTCAGCTATACCTGTCTAACTCATTTTCTCTCTCAGGAAAATAAAATCAATTGGTTTAGCAGTGCTTGAAGGGGCAAACCTCTGCTGCTGGAGCCAAACCAAGGATTTCAGCTCTGCACAAGGCTGCCAAACTACAAGTCTCTTTATCCATAGCTACTAATACAGCTGCACAGTCATTGATCCCCTGCTTTGGGAAGTGGTGAGGTTTAGGTAAGCAGTTAACTGTGCACTATTTGGGACACATTAGAAGAAGGGCAAGAATAAGAGTAAATAGAAAACTGTTCATATTACCTCATTTCTTCCCTCCCTCTCTGCCCAATTCTGGAAAATGAAAACAAGGAACAACCTCAGTCTTTTTGTTTAGCTGTAACTATTAGATATCTGAAATAGAAACCTTTGTAAAAATTCATGATTCTCATCTTAACAGAACTGTGATATTTTCTTATGGAAAATATTGCAAGTCCACTTGGTGCTTTATGGGTTAAAAGCAGTTATTTGAGGGTGGAAAAATTATTTCAGCTGAGAGGATAGTTCCCAGCAATGTAACTTCCCTACAACTGCAATAAGAACAACCACTCAAAAAAATTTTAAAAGGCAGGCCAGTGATTTCTCAAATAAGCAGTTAAGTTCAAAGACTTTGTTGAAGATTTATATGGGTTTTGGAAAGGGGCTTAAAGAGTTGGAAGAGAGCAGGAGTGTTGAGCTGATTTGCTCAGGAATTTTAGCTCCATAGTGGAACTAGGGGGAGTATAGCAAGAACATGATGATTTAAAAGAAAAAAGTGAAAACTTTACAGATGTTTGGAAAGCCTGCCATAAAACCAAAGGCACAGCTTTAGATACCCTGAATCAGCTCTGGCTGCAACTGAAATTCTACCAAAAGGAAAACATATCACCCCAGGCCAAGATAACTCTAGTAAACTGCAGAGCCTTCACATTTTGGGGAGTAACATGGAAAGAAGAGCGGTGGGAGAGTAAAATCTCTATGAAGAGGACAAGGAACCCTTGGCCACATTTCAAAATCCTGATGCTCTTTACACTTAAGGCATACTGACCCAAGGGAGAGAAAACTTGGAGCCAGCACATGGAATGGACTGCCAATGTGCTATGCCCCTTTGTGATCAGGGGATAACCAGCCTTGCCTTGTCCTCCACCAGTGCAGTATGTGCAGGTAATTAGCTAAAAAAAAAGGATATGGATTTTGATCCTTGATGACTTCCCTTGTCAACTGAAAGAGTAGCATCTCCCCTTACCCTACAGGAGTATTGGACATGAAAAGGAACTGTAAGCACAATAGGGGGTAGAACTAGACTGCATTAACTTTACAATGTTTTACCTCCATTTTGCATAGATTTTAACAGACAGGTCTCTCTGTGCCTTCATTAATCACCTGTCTCTGCTACTTTTGGTGTCAAGGCCTTATTTGAGAAAACAGGCATTATTGAAGTACTCAGAGACAGCAATGCCATTGCTGGAGTCACAGGGAGCCTGACCTGCCACTGCCTACAGTCAGCCGTAAGTGGGGATGGAGATTATCTGAGCAGTGGCTGTGTTTTGTATTTCCAAACAGTCTGACCTGGCATCCAGCAAAATTAAGGTTTATGAGCAGCAATAGGGAATGTTGTGGGTGGTAAACTGGCATATTTGAAAAGTAACATATTGCACTTCAAAGTTACTGTCAACTCTCCTGATTTCTCTGAAATACACCTATTGAAATAAAAACCATAAATAGCCACCAAACAGAAAGGGTCAAAAAAAGCCCCCATGATTTGCCCTTGGCTAACATAAAATTGTATATTAAAAATGTACTACAACAGCTCGTTATGTTGGAGTCTTTTTCTGTTCTAGGTCTTTTCAAGTCCCCCTCTTCCATAGGGTGACAGTACCTCTCAGTTTACGAAGGTATCATCTTTACAACTGCCTT